GATGTGTTTTCCGATGGTCTTAGGCGACCCCTGTGAAAGGGTCGTTCGACCCTCAAAGGGTCGCGACCCACAGGTTGAGAGCCACTGAGATAGAGCATGAATGTCCTCATGGCTGCTCCCTTGTGCCATCGCTTACCTGGTCTTTCATGTCAAGATCCCGTTTAGCTTTGGCTCTGTCCTCTCTGTGCTCCTTTTCGGCCTCATCCTTCTCCATTTTGATTTTATTCAATTGGTAGCGCATTTCCCCACACACCTGTTAGATTTATAAAAACTAGATCAATAGCTGCTGGAATCTACCAGCCAATGTCTGCAATTAGATCTTTTGGTGCCCCCTAGAGGGCACGTAAATGAAAAACACCACAACTTTTCTGAGAATGGCACTTTTCCTTAGAGAATATTCAATGTAATATTCTGTGAAGATGTGGAGGCAACAGCAGGTATTACTGAACATAACAATTTCAAACTATAGATAAAGAAATGCACACTAAGGAATTTAAGGAATGTGTCCGTGATTTCTTATGTAATCATAGTTTTAAAAAATCAATAAAATATAAAAAAAGAAAATATTAAGCTATGCTATTATTCATTTAAACTGTTATGATTAAATGGACTCTCTCTATTATAAAACCTTCCTTTAAAGACTTTAGAGGTAGGCTTTTATCTTAGAAAATTTATAAAGAAATTTTTGTCTCTGCTATTAGACTATATTATTGATAGGTGTAGTAGCCCATATTAACTGTAAGCTTTTTAGATGAAGCCAATCTTTTCATGCACAACACAGTATTTAAATTAAGAAAGATCGCCTGGTAAAGGTCATGGGCTGGAACTAAGCACATTCTGCATTGTAACTGTAGATTTAGCATAAAAGGAAAGTGTACATTTAAGGGAAATAATTCTAATGTATCATTAAATAATGCACACACATAGTATCTTAAAAGTGTCGTTCCTACAGTTTTGTTTTCCATCTGCCATCTCTACAGACATGACTATATTTGGAAAATTCAATTAGCAGATAAATCTATGTAAAGAAATGATAAGCCTCTGGGAGAACTGAAAACCTGTAGAGAGATGGATGAATACACGATTCTGCTCAGTCAGCCCCTAATGGACAAAGACGAGTTTTAAAAATCATGTGTCCTGCAATGGTTATACTTGTCTGAAACCTTTTCAAATTTGGTATTTCTCTAAAAATGATGATTAGAATTTTGGAAATTAGTACCATACATATTGAGGTACTAGAATCTTAGAAAACCTGTATGCATTTCCTATGTTCAAATAAAACATATTTTAAAAAATAAACTAATCTTATTCCAAAGTTATAGTGACAAGACAGAAAAAGCCAATAAGCTTTCCCCCCGTGGCCCTCATAAGCTAGAAAAAGAATAAAATTACTAAAGATTCTATTTGAAACTCAAATGCTTTCAGTGTGTGAGTTGATCTTTCCCATTTCAAAAAATTAGTAATTTACATAAAGGCATTACTTTTAAAGCTAAATAACATTTAGAAATTAAGAGTGACAGAAAAAAAATAGAGGGTCCCTAATTTACTTTATTTCTTCGCTGTTCTTCACTGTTTCAATCGATTTGATTTACATACACAAATGAAATGAAAATATCCAACTTGATAATACCAGAAAATAATAATTATACAACAATTATACAATCACAGTGTTTAAAACCCAACACCAACACAAAATTATTATATGTAACAAATGTCTAAGCATTAGGTCTTATTGAAAATTATTTTCTCCCTTCATTTTCCTTTTAAAGTTCCCTTGCCTTACTACTTTCAGTTTAGCATTTGCCAAGTTTATCCATAACATTTAAATTCTATCTAAAATAAATCGACTAAATTGGACCAGAATTATGTTATCTTGAGGTTGGAAGCAATCTCAAGGCACTCCTCTGATGCCTGAGTCCCTTTGGACAATTATAAGGACAGATTATGCTCATTCTTGACTGTACACATTTCAACAGAAAGTTCTTTGCCTCCGATGAACTGAAAACTCCTGCCCTAGCTTTCATTTACAAATCTGGGTTAGCCATTTCCATGCCTCTGCATCAGTTCTCCTACTTCTACCCCTCTCTTCACACAAACACATCTATTATGTGGATAAATATGATATTTTTAAACGTCTACATTTGCTAGCTTGATTAAAGTCAAGAAAGAAAAAGAAAAATTAGGCTCCCTTTCCTAATGTAAATCACTTGAAA